GAGAGAAAGGGAGTCTCCAGCCCCCATCTCCTTTCAGAATACGGGGTTCGTCTCTCTTCCCTCCCCTGGGTTTCCCAGAGTCTGGGCCCCTCCCTGAACTGGGGCCACTGTCTTGTCAGGACCGCAGTCCCTTCTTGTGCCCCTCACCTCTGTGAGCATCGTTGGGGCTCTGTTCAGGACCCCGCAGATCTGGGCCCCACAGTGCTGCCTCAGGCTCCATCACAGAGCTCAGGACCTCCCCGAGTTCCAGGGACCCTGGGGAAGGAAAGAAAGGAGCACACAATGGGAGCCGATCTCCCGCTTTTTACCCCCCACCTGCACACGCCTCAGCCCTCATTCTTCCTTATGTGAACTTCAGTTTCCTACCAATCCATTTTTCTGGGAATCAATTCTTACCACGTTCCCCCACCCTCATCCCCGCAGGCCTGATTCCTGATCTAAATCTTAAGATCACAACTAAGCAAGTAGGTGAGTTTAGAGTGTAATTAAAAGCTCATCAGTCATAACCCTTAGAACCCTGACTGGGGGCTGGAGAGGTATCTAACACCCACAGGGGAAGGAGGCTCTCACTCTACCCCTCTGATGCCCAGAGGCTGAGAAACCTGTTAGTTTGCTAATCAGAGGAAGCTTATTAAGACTCTAATTTTCCTCCTTAATGGGGCTGCTAATTGGGACCAATAAACTTTCCTTAAGAGCCTCACAGAGTCCTGAGGCTGCCTAGAACTCTTAAAGAGTTAAAAAAAAAAAAAAGAAAAGAAAGAAAGAGGGAGAGAAAGAAAGAAAGAAAAAGGTAGAAAGGAAAGAAAAAAGAAACCATCCTAATTTCCCTGAGGGGACAGGGGCCCTCCAAAAGGACTGGAGCACTATTCCGTTATCCAAGCAGAGAAAGAAGGTTAGGCTAGAGGTAGGGGAAGGGGCATTTTAAAGTCATCAGGGGCTTCTGCAGGAACTACCTCGTGAGGAAAATGGTAAAAGGGCAAGCGTGGGAAACTGCCCAGCAGCTAACACAGTGCCTGTTGTGGTGTCCTCATTATCTCACCTAGTCCTCCCAACAATCTCATGAGGAGATCCAGGAATCAGGTTGTCCATTTTACAGATTAGGAAATCAACCCTCAGGGAGATTTCTCCAAGGTCACAGGCTGGGGAGTGGCACAGACCGGAAATGCAGCATTCTGTGTCTGGCTCACCCTAGCCTCTGAGAGGGAGATGACCTTGGGAGTCATGTGAAACTCATAAATGTGGGCTGGCAGGGATGAGTGATGAGGAAAGCTCAGAAGGAGCCTGCTGACCATGAGAATGGGATGAAGAAATTCCTGGGACCAAGAGGTCTTTGGTTGTAAAAGGAGGGGCTGGATCTAGTGACTAGGCTGACAATCTACATCTATAAATGCAAGACAGAGACCTCCCTACTGAATCATATCATCCATATCAGTCCCATTCTGGTATCTCTTCTTCTATACCCTTTGCCTTGTTTTGTTGCTGCCATATGCCATGCCTAGGACAGCGCCTAACACATAATAGGTGCTCAATACATTTTGTCAAATGAAAAATACATTTTGCTCCTGGAAAACCTGTTTGTCCAATGCCTCTAAAGGTCAGTTTGCAAGAGGACAGCAGCAAAAGAGCCTTTCAGAATGGCCTCCTGGTAAAACATAGCCAGCTGTCACTCCCAAAAAGGTGATATGACTCCACGATAGGAAATAGGGCCACAGGAACTAAGTGCTAGGAGAATTTTCCACAATGTTTAGACCCTTAAGAGAGCCTGGGGAAAGCCTGGGTTTTGGGTGGCTTTGTGAGATGGGCACTATGGGTAAGGGGGCAGTGGTGCAAGAGACATGGCAAGGACTCATGAGGAGGCAGCTGGGAGGTAACCCAAATGAAGGAGGAGCTAGCTTAACCCTGCCAAGTAGCAGTAGGGGAGATAGGAGTTAGATTTTAGGAAGTAAATTAATTTCTTCATCTCTGCAGCTCCTTAGACTATGAGAATTGCCCCTCCCCCATCTGTAAGTGTCTTCGGGGAGGTGGAAGCAGGGACCTCTGCCAAGCTGAGGTTGCCTGAATGTCCTGAGTAGGCCTGGAAGGGTGCCCTGCTGTTTGCTGAGGACAGGTAAGACCTTATGTACCTTGATTATTTCCAGAAATTCAAACTCAGAGGTCCAGAGTAGACGGAAAGGGTTAATAACAAGGCTGCCATGGAGCATGAAAGTGGTAAGACAGGGAGACAAGAAGTGCTTGGAGCGACCCAGGCCCAGACCTCGGACTTGGCTAGCCCCACTACGGAGGGAGGGAGGCTAGAAGGCTGCCTCTCAGAAAGGTGTGGAGAGCGGCCCAGAGTGACCCTGACGTGGAGGCAGCAGCGGGCACGCAGCCATCCTGGCCCCCGGCCCCCACCATGACCGCACCAGTCCAGACCCTGGCCCCCGCCAACCTCTTTCAGCTCCCAGTGCAAAGCTGGGCATCCTCCCCCTCCCGGGCCCCCAAGATTCCCAGTTGGCCTGCAGCCCCCAGCCCCGGCCTGGCGGTGGAATTCCCTCTTCCCAGAATGCTCACGCCTCCCCTCCCCCACAGCCAGACCCTCGCGCTCTTCCCAGAATCCTCGGCCCTCGGCGCCCCTGCCCGGCCCCCAGCGCTACCCCAGCGACCAGGGGCGGGGGAGGGGGCTCAGGCCCGGGGCCGCCCGCCTCCGCACGCCCCATTGTTCCCCGGCCC